AAAAAAAAAAAAAAAAAAAAAAAAAAAAAAAAAAAAAAAAAAACAGATAAATAACTAAATGAAAAATAGGAAACATGTTTGTAAGCGATTTAAAAAAAAAAATAAAAAAAATTCAATGTATTATGTACATATCTAATTATTTCATAGCGCAATTATTCTTTAAAATTGTTATTGTTTTGTTTAATGTGGGCTTTGTACGGTTTTATTTGTATTTTTATTTTAACATTTAGAGAATTTTTATTCCACTAACAAAATTATAATTGTATATTTATATTTACTTTTTATTTTGATTTTATTTTTTAATAAAAATATTTTGCAAAATTGAATAAAATTTTAAAATTGTTACTAACACTCATATAATGAAAAAACAAAACATGTAACAGGCAATCGCTCTATTACACCTCCTTCAGACTTACACGCATATATAATTTTCATCTAATCTTACATAATATTTTGATGCACTTCCCTAACACGGCTTTCTAGATAGCTTAGTCAATTGTGTGTATCTAGAATTTTGATATTATATTTATAGTCACTTTAGTTAGAGCATTTCGAAAAATTTTCGGATGAACTGATAGAATCGTACCTAGATCAAGGACGTATGTTCTGTATGTAAATTATGACATCTCGAACAAGCGCTTCTGATTTTATAAACGAAATGGCAAATTTATCCCTTGTCCCTTCTCAATTTTGTAGGCATTAGCGGATGAGTTTGTAAAGACTGTTTCTCATCGAATTTCAGATCGACATCTGATGATCCTATTCTACTTCTAGTACGGGCTATATTAAGTTCGATGCGGGTGTTTTACGTATAATGTTCAAAAGAACTTAAAATCCCCTATACCGACCGCTTTGCAAACAATATTTGGATCGATTTAAGCTTGTCTGTCCGACTGTCCTTCTAGTCTCTGCCAGATTTTATATGCAATTGAAGTTTCTGAGAAATTTTTGACGAGCTTTGATATAGTAAATGTGTTTTCGTCTAAAGGCAAACGTTATTTAAAATGGATTGAATCGGAACTCTTATACACCCACCATTCGTCTTATTTTGAAGAAGTTTTATTAAAAATAATTACAATTTTCAAAATTTCTTCGCTAGAATCGCTGAACATTAGTACTTTGGCATATTGAATTGGTGTAAAAAATTTGGATCGGATTTCTCAATTTCTTGAATCCAATCCCACACATTCTTGTTCTTGCAAAACCACATAATTTTTAATAGATTTAGATATAGAAGATCTATCGCTAACAGTAATTTCATAGAAAAACTGACTGTACCAAATTCGGACTACGTAAGGCTATGTTGGGGACTTAACCTCGTATTGGTCGACGTTTTATAAGGTATTTAACGCTTGGCATTTATCAATTATATTATTTCTACTTCTTTTCAATATTTTATAATTAAAATTTGCCCTCAGTAGTAATTTGATGTAAATCATAAGGCCACAGTTTTGACTCCAGCCAATGTAAAGACATGAGTAGTAAGCCTTGTATAGCGACAAAGTTTAGTTTTTAGTAAATTATTATGAAAATAGCTGAAGAATGGTAAATAAGATGATTGACGAGAAAATCGCTGCTGTCTAATTTGAACCAGTTCACATTTTGGGACCCCATCGGTATAACGGTTCGAATGAAAACTGCGCCTTGACATGAACTCGATGCAGTTTCTGCTATTTTAATCGAGAATAGGGTATTTGAAGAATGCTTTTAATCGATCGTAGTGGGTGTACTTTTTATTACTTGTTCAATGTACTACTTCTGCAAGCGCAGACAAGATCGTAAAACTTTTATTTTACATTTTTGTACGCAAGCGAAGTATTTAAAATGATGGTCACGTTGTGAGTTTTTACGTCAGTCGCTCTGCCGTTTGTTGGAATCGCAAGTTAATGGAGCAATTTTGGCCAGCATGTCTTTCTTTCTGTCTTATAGAAAAAGTTTGGGGAAGGATGTAAAGTAAACTGAATATATTTATCAATAATATACGATCGCAGGATTCATAGCAGATATCAATCTGAATCTTGCTAAAATAACCGAAAATTTTGTTAGGGAAATATTCGCTCACTTACCGTCGCTTTATTACGACATAAGATATATTGTGTATAACCTAGTTAGCTCGCCCGTAGATGTACGTTGTGATCTATATCAGTTATCGGGCTAAAAAATATACAAATAAAATTCAAAATTAATTTTTTTTTTATTTAATTTTTAAGTCTGTTGTTTTGTTTTTTTTTTGTTTGTTTATATTTTTATTTAACTTTATCACAACTACCATAGTCATTACCGTTCCTTTACTCGTAAAATAAAATACTAAAATAAAAAAATATTATCCAATCTCACTCCCATTCCTCTCATACGCACATATTCCCCTTTCTATTTACCTGCATACTCAGTTCATTTTGTTTCGTTTTCTTTTACGGCATAAAAGAACTTGATTTTCTTCAACAGCTAAATATTTTATGGTCAACCATTGCGCTGCAAGCACACCCACAGTATTGTCATCAGCAACTAGCTCTGCGGCAGCATTGGCGGCAGTTTGTGGTACTACATCGTCAACGTCTTCTAAATGGTTATTGTCGCCTACGCTTGAAGTGTCTAGTGAGGAGAAAACATCCTTGATTAATAACTTGAAAACTGATTCTGAGGAGGCGGGAAAAACGATTGGAGGAGATGATGCCTTAGTTAGTATGACAAGTGCTGGGACAAATTTAGCTTTAGCTAGCACAAATTTCGTCAAATTGCCTCTGGAAGATCGTAATAAATATGAAAAACTGCGCAGTAACGATCAACCGACCTCTGACGATTCTGATGATTCTGAGTTTTTTCAAGAAGATTGTAATACCGTTAGTAGCAATTCAAAAAAAGCCAAATTCAAACAAATTGTTACTAATAACATACCTGACACTATACACAAAATACAACAGGCCGCCTATCATAAAGTCGATAAGACACAAATAAAAGTGCCGATTGTTAAGAAATTAAGGCATACCACGACCAAGCGGCCTTCAACAGCAGCTCAGCAAGCGGCGCAACAATTGAATGTCGTTTTAGAGAAGCATGAGCAGCAAAATCAGCAAGCGGCTGCCATAGCGGCAGTTGTGGCGGCTGCTGACGAAGCAGCCAAAGACGAAGGCGACGCAGATTCGATTGGTTCAGCAAGCGATTTAAGAGCCGAAGATGACGATTTCTTCGACGAGAATCAAATGAACACTATAGCAACGGGTAATAGATATAAACGCCCTGACGTGGATGGCATTAGCGAAAGTGTGAAGACGTGCAGTTCATCAGCTTATCATGCTGAGTGCGAATCGGTCACTACGCATGAAGACGATGTCAGTCGTGTGGTAGTAAAAGTGCGTATGCGTAAAAAGGATCGTATGGCTGCAGCAGTGGCGGCGGCCACTGGAGATAGTGTGTTGACAGCTGGCTTAGCAGGCGACGAAAGCGAGTTAAGTCCTTGTTCCAGTGATTTTCTAAATAAATTAGGGGACAAGCCTTTATTGCTGGATGATGAGCTAGATTACGGTTCTGCTGACTCTGATACGAGAAGTCAAAGTAGCAGCGACGACAATTCCAATGGGTACGTGAAAGTTGACGATGCCAATAAGCAGAGGGAAACAATTGAGTCGGATTTAGTCGAGCCTGAATTAGATGTTTTTGCTATGGCACCTTTTAAAATGCCACCTGGCTTACCCTTGCGTAGAAGATCTAAAACGGAAGCTGCCAACTCCTTGGCTACTCCCAAAACTACAATTAAAATAGCGTCAATAACTCCACAAGTAGAAATTTGGTCGTCAACACCTATTAAAGCGGAAGCGTGTAGTGATTTTGCGGATTTTTCGATATCGACGCCTTTAGAAGAGACTCCTGTCAGCATTATCCCTGAACAACTAGACGATTTTAATGAACCAATTTTTAACCCATTTGTGGCACCTTTACCACTGCATCCAACATCATCGTCATCCGCATCATCGTCAAGGATGGATTATGGACAACCTGGGCAAGTACAAAGTTCCTCTCATTATGGTTTAGTAACCGTAGTAAACACTATACCCGCAGTAGAAACACCACAACGCGATCTCTTCGACTCAGAGCCTTTTCCCCAGGTAATTAGTAAATGCATTAATGTTAACAATATTGACATTGTTAACTTTGAACAAAATAACAACAGCAACAAACTCAGTAATATTGTGCAGATAAAGACTAAGCACACGCCTTCATCCTTACCAATCAACAAAACAAAAGCAATCCCTCAACAATTAAAAAAACCATTAATAGGCCATCTAAACGATCCGGTAACTTCCTCCAATATTATGAATCCTCAAAGAGATACCAAATCACAACTCGTTACGGTAAATCATTCGATTATAATTAATAAAACTCCTGAACCTTCTTCAGCTTTACAAACACAAAACCAAAGCATAGCGAATCAAACTCTTATACCTAAAGCAAGTCAATGTAATGCGACAACGCCTTGTGCATCAATACCGTCATCTGTTAAACAAAATTCTTTATCCAATCCAAAGGTTTCCAATAAATCGCATGTTATTAACATTATGACTCCAATTACTTGCCCATCTTCCGTTTCAAGCGTTTCCAAGCAGGTGATAAGCGTTAGCACTTCCCAAGCATCAAATTTAAATTCCGCAAAGCATAGCATTGTCTTATCCGTTCCTTCCCCAGCGATACCGACTTCTATAGTAACAGTCACCAGTAGTTCCAACGCGATTAAAAGTATTAATAGCTCTAAGCCTATTCCTCCGCACTTAGCACCTAATTCTTCAACAGATCAAGCATTGTTTCCTATCGCCGACATGGGGTTTGTGCAAATTTCCCAAGAACGATGTTCCGATTTCACCCCAGACGATGAAGAAGAGCCAGTTGTTGTAAACTCCAAACACGTAGACAAAGATATGACGCATGTTACCGCTTCTAATGGGCAAAATGCTGTTACCTCTTCCACTAATGTCCTTAAAGATAAGCATAAAGAGAAAAAATCCCATTTAACAGTGAGAACATTACCAGGTAAAATCTCTCAAAAAGTCAAAGGCCATAGCTATAAAAAGGTCTTATCATCATCATCGCCTGTTACGTCTAACTTGACATCAAGTTTAGGTTCTACCACATCATTAACATTAGGTTCTTCGAAACAAAAACATCAACGTTTACAATGTAAATCCCACGAAGACGAATACGATGATGAAGACGATTACGTTAACATTTCCTATAGTAACAATAACAAGCATTCGAAAACATTTTCACTTAAAAGTAACAATGTTACTCCGGCTACCAACTCATTTCAATCCAATTCTATACAGAATTCCGCTAAAACCGGTTTTAGTAATATGTCGTTTGAAGATTTCCCATCTGATCATGAAATGGATCGGATGGCTCAGAAAACAGTTATACCATTTGAGGTGGTACGCAATGAGAAAATGCTATTGGAGGCTGAAAAGAAATTCGGTTCGCTGAAGAGACGCAATAATTTATTCTCCTAGAAACGAATTATACCGGTGACTAAACAGTCACTCAAACGGGACATTAAACAAGCCCTACAAAAAGTATTAAGAAATTCCTACGAATAGCATTTGACGATTGCGAATAGACCGCGAAAATATATAGAAAATAATGTCAATTATATAGAAGAAGAGAGACGGGAAGAAGGGGGGTTATATTCGGCTTGAACTGAATTTTTGATATTCATTACCAAGTGAACTTTCAAAAAGGCAACTGCATAAGAAATTTGATACCAAGTACTCTTCAAAATCAAAATCATTTAAATCCTCTAAATATATAAATCGTGAACTCGAAATGAAACCTAACCTCTCAAAGCAAATATATGGAAAAAGTTTCAGGCAATCGTATTGAATTCCTATATTGCATTAGCAATTGTTCATCAAATCTGCCGATATCGGTATCTATGGTAAGTCAAATTTCGTTCAATTTTTCAATCATTCCGATCGTCAAATCCATCTGCAAGCCTTGCCTGAGAAATTGAAATGTGAAAGTAAGAGGACGGGAACGCGGAATTAAAAATTTGATAAACTCCGTTAGTCGGCTTGAATACAAAACCTAAGGAATAATATATATGAACGATTTGTGCGAAGAATTATGTTGCGCTTTTCCAGACTTATCGTAGGCCAATATTGAATTGATTTTTCAGTATTTTTTTTTTTTTTTTTTGTTTTTTCGGTCAATATACAAAGTCATGACTGATGACGTCTTCTTAAGACTTCTGTAAGCAAGCCTGCCTTGATTTTGGCCCTTTTCAATCGCCAACTTTGGATAATCGACGAAAGCAGAAAGTAAATTACAGAGAGAGATAGGCGTAACTGAACCCTTGTTTCAAATCTCACTACTTAGAATCTGCAGAATGGTGCAAAATGACAAAGTTCACATTGGTGATGGATATAAAAAGTTGTAAGACCTTGAACAGCAGTTAACAAATACACTAAAAAATATGTTTAAAAAAAAAAAAAAAAAAAAAAAAAACAGAAAAAGAAAATAAAAAGAAATAGAAAGAAGCACACGAGCATACTTCGGCTAAAGTCCTCAGCACGCAAATATTTACTTTAATTTTACAGCGTCTATATATGTATATGTATGTATGTATATATATGCAAATTAATAAAAGCAGAATTTCGTAAGAGTACACTAAGACTGAAATGCTAACTTAAAATTATGAAACAAAAAATAAAAAGGGTTAGCAAATGTTATATTGTTGCTGCTGTTTTGTTATTACCCCAGGAAAAGAACAAAGTGTAACTATTTTATAAATATTTTTACAAGAAAATAAAAAAAAAGAAACAAAAATCAAGAAATAAGAACGAAATGGCTGAAATTTTTTCAAAAAGATAAAAATAATAATGAGTAACAAAAAAAAAAAAAAAAAAAAAGAAGAAGAAGAAGAAGAAAAGGAAAATGAAAGTAGATAACACAGCGCATCCAAAAGTATACAATTAAATAAATTAAAAAGCTTTTAGAAGACAAATAAATGAAAATAAAAAAAAAAATGCATTACTAGAAATATTTACATAATTTTATTAGAAACTAATGCGACAGCAAATTATACACAAAGATCATAACGACTTTATAGCTTTTTATGACATCTTTTTTTTTTTTAGCTTCTGTGGCAATTTTTGCACTCATGTTTAAATAGTTGTCATAAAATCTTAAACGAAAATGCAATTAATATACAGTGCCGAGAAAAATGATGATTTTAATTCTAATGAAAGGTAAAAATATAAATATTGGAAATATATTATGTCCAGAGCCTTTTCCTATATTTTTTGTTCAATGCATTTGCTCGAAGAGTTTATTAATTTGCTTGGCATGAGTTTCGACAGCTCTAAACCATGAAAGCAAGAAACTGTTCACTAGTGGGACATGACCCACTATTACACACCCCATCTCTTCATTGAATACACTTATTCATATAAAAACTTTTCAAAATAAGATTCTGTATTGAAAGTGATGTAAGAACTGGTCCGATCCGAACCGTCTTCGGTAATCTTCGCCGTTGGTCCAAAACATATTGCTACATCAAGTATCATCTAAATAGCTCGAAAAATGCGGCAGGTTGAACGAAATAATATAAGACGGACAGAGGGACAGATACGTGTAGAACGATTTAAAAAGAGATTCTGAATCGTTCCCCATAGCAGTAATAGGTGGGTCTATCTCAGAAAATCGGAAGGATACACGGACGAACGGACAGACAAGCTTAGGTCGTTTAAGAAAGTGACTCTGTATATATCTATATATATATATATAAATCGTAACATATCATCGCATGAAAATTTTCATGAATTCATTCCATTTGTTGACGGAGACACAATTTTCAAGTCGCTGTAAACAAATGACGAAACGTTTTAAGGAATTGTTTGCTCCCGACTTTCTTTCATTTTTGGCAACCGAGACTGAATCACATTTGCAAAATTTTTTTTAAAAAAGAACATCGGTATTTCTTCCTTTCTTGGCTCTCATAAGTCCACGACATTTAATTCATTACTTTGCAATTCTCTTAAAAGTTAACTATTTCCGTTTTTTTTATGGTGAAGGATACATTTTGAAAATAACATTTTTCAATATCAAATGTCAAAAACTTCTTAAACTGAAATAAACATCGGCGAGCTCTAAGTTTGATTTGAGAGAACAGATTTCAATCCCTAAGTTTTCCGTTAGTTAAAAGATAAACAACCACCCACCAATAATCTCAACCCCAAATAAATGTAAATAAATACGGTCGAGTTCTTAGCTTGATTTGTTGTCATAGAAAACAGGATAACCCATTACCCGTTGGATTAGTGGGATGATATATAAATGTAGGATGATGCCTTTTGATTAACGAGTCGATATGATATTTGATTTATAGGATCTATATTCTATAATCCTACGAACTTATTGAGTGATGCGTTACGATAATTATAATTTACGACTTGTTTTTATCATTTTCTTGCGTAAAAGCCAAGTATAAGGCGTAAATGTAAGATAAGAAGCTCTCGAATTTCAATCTGAATGAAATTTTGTATGAACTTTTGCTTTTCTATAAAATTTGATGAAAATTTTTCCGGGGCACTGTATATCTTCTGAACAATTTACTCTTCAATAATTTTTTTTTTTGTTGATTTTGGTTTAAAATAGACAGTAGCGAAGAAGAAGTTTGTTTATAAACTAATAAAACATTGTTTTTAAAATATTTAAAACAATTTAAGACAAAAGCATACATGTATTGAGAATGCATTGATCAATTGTTAAATCATTAATGATAAATTTATTTATTCCACTTATTATAAAAAAGAAAAAAAAAAACAAAGAATTTATTGTTAATTTATGTAATATGAGCTTTTATTTTAAAACATTGTTGCTTTTGGCTGTTTACTTTATGATTAAAAATATCACAGTTTTATATCTCTTCAAAGATGGTGTGTATATATGACAAACTTGAAGGCGGCAAGAAAAGCAAAAGCGAATTAACACAAAAGTTCGTGCATTATATTTAGTAAGCGACGACAAATGTGAATCAATAATGAATTATTGACTATTTTTCTTTCTTCACTTTATTATTTTATTATATTATTTTATTGCGTTTTAATGGCCAACTTTTCATTTAACAGGATTCCAAAAAGTTTGAATATTTTACTAACACAACTTTTGAGAGAATCTTCTTGGAAATGATACGTGTGTACGCAGAGTTAATCGATGATAGGAAAGGCATAGAAATACGCTTTTAATCTGCCAGAATTGCATATATTTGGCATCAATGTGATTAACATAGCGACACCTTTATTTCAAACACATTGCATGACTTTTTAGACCTAATGCATTCAGTCCTTGTCCTCAGACGTAAGATGTTAAAAATAAAAGGCAATAGGAAAGAAGCTAAAAGTTCCTTTCCCTTTCTATCTTGAGTTGAAAGTAAACGGGAAATGCGATTAAAAAGATACCCTATATATAAATTATTATACGTTACATCACTTGTGCTGCAGGGTACGCTTTGGATGGGTCCATTTTTTGCAACCCTTGCCCTTATACCGCACAATGTTGAGAAGCCATTATATAGGAAAAAATTGTAAATTTTCAAAAGTTCGCGACAAAACTCGCTCTGCTATACCATTTGAGCATTCTGAATCGGTATCAATAATGGGTCTCGGGTTTTAAACCCTCTCTCACAAAAACTGTTCCTACTAAAACTGAATCTTCATAGAGTGAAGAGGTATAATTCTTAATAATTCAGAGGGAAAGCTAATTCACAATAGTAAATTGGCATAGAAATCAACCTTAACGAACTTTGACCACGTAGGATACCTCCGCATTTGCGGGCTTTCATGGAAAATGCTCCTTTGCTGTATTATTACCGAAACGAGTGAATAGTTGTATTAGGCGATGTGGTATGGGGTATTCAATTCGCGGACTTGCCCGCCTATAAAGTTCTTATTAGTTATATTTAGAAAACGATTCCTAAAATACTTGACGAACTGAATATCGGCATGTGAACTTTTGTGAATTACTTGAAAAATAGTAAAAGACTTAAATAGCCGAGCGAAAGCAAGCGAACGGTGCGTGAAACCAAGCGGTCAGGCAATTTATCCAGACATCTATCTAATCATCCAAGCATGTAAAAGAGATTATAAAAAGGACATACAATCTTAAATTCCTACGAAACGAATCTCTTATCGCCTGAAGCCAATATAGAAAAATTAGAAACTAGTTCTTTAACTGCTTACCAGGACCATCCGTGCAAATGAACTAATTATGAATTGCTATTTTCAATTTCTCATGTGATCATCAGTTAAATACATGACCGGAAGATTTTCATCTGAATCAATTCAACATCAGTCGAATAAACCGGAATTTTATTTAAAGCATATAAAATAAATAGCAACATGGTACTAAAGGAAATTCTTTGATTCTTTACATGCAACACTTCTCAGGTATAGAAAACTGTATTTGCGTATGTATGTGCGTCATTCCGCTTTTGTGTCAACCGCTTTCTATTTAAGTAAGTCAAGAATCTAAGAGGACCTCGTACCGAAAGTATGGAAAATAATATATTTTAGTACAATAATGTTTTAATCTATTTTTCCTTTTAAATATAATTTCTTTATACCGTATAAAAAAGTTTATTCCGAAGCCATTAACTAACAAAGCATAGCATTAATCTGCAGGGTAGAAAAGTTTCAAAACTTTCTATTGCTTACAGGAAGGTGCTGTCCTGATCACTTCTTTTTAATATTATGCAATGTTTTTTTTTTTGTGTTTGTTAATAACCGTTTTTTTCTCTTTTTAAATGAAATTTTTGCATAAAAGTTTTTCTCTTTTTGTTTTTTATTAGAATTATTTGTATATATTTTAAATTGTTTATATTTTAACCAAAGTTCTGCTTTTTATTTTGTTATGTATTTATATACGTTTTTGAACTACGTTATGTAATTATGTTATAACACAAACAAGAAAAAACGTAGTACATATAATTATATTATTATTCCACAAACAATATGTAAACAACAATAAAAAAAAAAAAAAAAAAAATTCATTGTTTAACAATAATAGTTTTTAGTGTTTATTTGCGTTCTCTTCTTTAAATGTTATAGACATAGGTAAGTGAAAGGAAGTTAGGGAATTCTGTTTTCCAAGATATTTTCAAGCGTCAATCAAAGGCATAATTAAGCGTAAGTCGATTATACTTACTATTATTTTGTTTTTAATGTAACCAATCATTGAAAGGATGTTCTCTATACGTGTAACATGGTAACGGCAGAAAAAGAAAATAAAGAGAGAGAGATGAGGAATGGCTGTGTTGCGACTTCATCGACTGAGCACTCACTTACTTGATAGTAAATGATTTTCTCTGAACCGCATTGTGGCGAAGGTTCTTTGGAATTACTTAATGCAGAAAGAAATATCATATTCTCTTATGAACTGTTGTGCTTGCAGACAACAAGAGGTCGTTTGTCTAACTGGACTACGGAAAATAGACCTTTTAAGCTTGGAACAGGAGTGTGTGGTGTGGAGTCAGACATATAGCCAATCCGCTCTTACTTTGCTTTAGCGCCGGGCCGAAAGAGTCAAAGAAGTCTCTTCTCTCTCTTTTAAAAGAATAAGAATAAAATACGACTTATTCGTAAAAGACCTCGTTCTGAACCGCGTCACAATTTGTGTAATATTGTAAATAAGATGACTGCCAGCCGTCTGGAGCATTAGCCGCGTTTTTTAAGTAAAAAAACAAGCACTAATCTCAACGCAACACCAAATGATATTTTCCTCAAAGTATTGTCTATCGCTAAGCGCACAGTGTTCTCAGTTTTCTCTTAACTTATAGGTTAAGAGGTGAGCCACAAAGTGAACAGACTTGGAGCTAAACAAAACGTTTTCAATCAGTTCAAAGCCGGTACATTGAAACAGCAAAAGAATACAAGGTTACATATATCAGAATATTTACTCTACACCCATCTGATCACTTTGTACAATTTCAAGGGGTGATATAGATTTCAAAAGGGAAAAAATATATTTCTCTGTATTTTTTTTCCTTATAATAACAGGCTTATTTAATTTAAACGATATAACGTATACAACACCCACAAGGATTTGAGGCAGACCCATACACCGAACGATTCAGTAACTGACTTTGAACTTTGTATGTCCGTCCGTCCGTCTTCGTACCTTGTGTTCAACCCTAGAGGCAATTTTTGAGATATTTGGATGAAATTTGAGGTGTTGGTTGCCTCAAGGACCAAGGCTGTTTAAAATGATCATGGTTGAACCCCTTTTTGAAAAGCGGTTATATGAAAATATATTGCAAATTTTCAAAATTTCTCGCGCTGGACCACCAAACACTCACTGTCAGCTTCTTCTCATGAATACTACGCTTTGGACTATGTTTTGGCGAGTCATCCTTGTTCTACGGGCAACATGTGTAACTTCATCAAAATTGTAAATAACAAGTTTAAATCTCGCCAACGAGCTTATAAATCTTTCTCATCGTCGCATTTAAATTCGCTGCGGCTGCCGCTGGAAGGAAATAAAAAGAATGATCGGTGCTTTTAACGGGCAAAAGAAAACAAACGTATAACACAATGTTAGCGAATTTAACGACATCAGTTGTATCAGTTTAACATATGTTTATCGATTTTTTCATACAGCTGTCATAATCATTATGCGAAGCAATGAGAAACACGAAATCAGCTGTTGTTTTGCCGGCCTTGCTATTGTATTTAATTTGCTTAGTTTAGTTAGATGCTTAGTTAGTCTCATTAGCCTCCGTCTCTTAAAAATTTACGTTCGCTTTTCAAAATTCTCTTGCATTTTGGCAAAAAACGAGAAGAATTCCATTCCCGTGAAGTAATTTTTGCATCCATGGAAGTGAAACTAAAAGATCATTAGTTTGGAATTATTATTAAAAAAATTGTTTCCATTACAAACTACAAAAAGGAGGAATTTTTGAAGATAAAATTCAATAATACCAGCAATTTATTGCCTAACACCTCAGATTGTTTAATATCAGGAAATGTCGTTATTGCATCTGAAAGGACGCGGGCTTGTGAAAAGCGGTGGATTCTCAACACAGTTAGCTAAACATGTAGGTGACAAAATAGATGGCGATCCGTTGTGGGGTTCGCGTTTTGATAAAGAGAATCCCGAAGCTGTAATGCAAACTCATTTAGATTTTTTGGAAGGTAAGAAGTAAACATAGTACGACAATATTCCTTTACATATAAAAATGATGTTAATATGTTGCAGTTGGAGCAGATATTATTGTCACCAATACCTATCAGTCAAGTGTAGAAGGCTTTACCAAACATCTCAATTTAACCAAAGACGAGAGTATAGACTTAATGCGTGAAAGTGTTAAACTAGCCATGCAAGCGAAGAACAAATATTTAGAACGTTTAAAAGATTGCAATCGGCACAAGGAACCGGGATTACCTTTGATTATGGGCTCCATTGGCCCTTATGGCGCTATGCTGCACGATGGGTCTGAATATACTGGTTCCTATACTGAAAAACTAACTAAACAGCAAATACAGCAATGGCACCGCACACGTATAGAAGCTGTCCTGTCCGGAGGCGTAGATGGTTTAGCTGTAGAAACTATACCTTGTCAAATGGAAGCTGAAGCTGTAACGGAAATGTTATTGAAAGACTATCCGGATGTAAAATTTTGGGTTTCTTTTCAATGTAAAGATGAAGTGAGATTGGCTCATGGTGAGAATTTCGCAAATGCTGCTAAAAGTGTTTGGGAATTAATAAGAAAGGCTAATGCTATTGATCGCCTATACGGTGTTGGCGTGAATTGTGTTAATCCAAAGGTACTATAATTATAAGTTTTCACTCATAATCTTTTTATATTTTGTTAATAAGCAAACATTATAGTTTGTCTCAGCACTATTTCAATCTTTGCATAAATTGCTAATTAATGAGCAAATACCACCATTAATAGTTTATAGTAATCGTGGCGAAATATATGATGCTCTTAAAGGTGGGTGGACCGGTCATGATAAATGTGTCCCATTAGCGAGTTATGTACCCGAATGGGTACAATTGAAAGCTAAAATTATTGGTGGCTGTTGTAGGGTATATCCCGAAGATATACTGGCTATACGTAAATGTATTGATAACATCGATAATAATAATTAAATTTAGTTAGCGAACATACCTGATTATTGCTGGGAGTTACACTTGTAACACTTTTAAACATGTATAATCCCGTTTTTGTTTAATTTTTATTTATTTTATTATAATGAAATTTAAATTATTTTATTTGTGATCTCTTAATAAAGAATTTTTTAATTCCTTTACGATTTAAGGAGCATTTTTAAACTTTGGATTACCAAAAACTAATGGAAGATGCTTTTGCTATTCCGCAACACCCAGAAATGCCCTAAAATAGCATACTCGAAGGGGTGTAGGGCATTCAATTGTTGTGATTAAATTCAAAATTTTTAATTTCTTTATATATGCCTTATACATGCAAAGTTCTTGATAATTGTATACACTTATTCTCAAAGCGGCACAATACATGCAAAACAATTGAGAACGATACTTATGGGTATTTTATTTCTCTTTATTTTTTGAATTTAGTACTCTCTCTCTCATTTCATGTAATCCACCCATAGCTTCCATCTATAGCCTTGGCTTCGAGAAATTGCTATTGCTGAGGCATTTAGCCACGGCGTAAGTCCGTCGATGATAAGATTTTGCTTTAAGACGTAACACCACTGCATATTTGTCAAAGCAATTTTTTTGCAAACTTTTTACATTTATATATATATATTTTTTTTTTATTTATTCAAGCATAAAACGATTTAATACAAGAAAGCATTCGAACAAATTAATCTACGTTTCCATGTAAAATTATAAGACACATCGAATTTGGATTTTTTGTCATCTAAAAGGGCTACTGATGCAGATGAAGTTCCATGATTTTAGGGTGATGCCTGTTCAGGATTAGTTTCTGTGCAAGTATCAACGTTATTAACAGTCTGCGCTCGTTCTTCTGTAGTATTGATGAGCTGCGCAGATGATTCATTACGCGAAGAGCCTTCGGATTTAATTTCGTCGCCGCCCGATGCTTTGCCATTGTTTTGAAGTAGCGGCTGCTGCTCAAGACTATTTTTTGTGGGAATACCGACATCGTCCATCGTTTGCGTTAGCTCGTCTGATGTATTCATGGTTTCTACAGATTCCATGCAAGAGGACTCGCTGCATGAACAGATCTCATCCTCCGTTTCAATGCTGTACACACTTCCAGCCAAAGATATTTTTTCAAGATGCTGGTCCAACTCACGATCATTTTCGCCATATGCACTGCAAACCAGATTCCTATTCAAGTGGGAATATAAGCCATGCATCATCTGATGGGGTTTCATTGCAGGTTTGTTGTGATCAATATAAATGACAGCTTCGCTATTAGTGCGCAAACGCTTACAAGTACGGTCGGCTTCATCGTTTGTTAAAGAGTTCTCACGGGCAGCCTGCGTATCTTCTGTATGTAGAGCCGTATTAGAGAATCTACGTTTCCTAGAACCCTTAATAAAATCAAATCAAAGCCTATACTTTTTGTTAATTATTAAATATATTCATATAAATATCTTACAAGCCAGCACGTCATGTCTCTTCCTAATCCCGACGGTTGTGCGTAGTCGGAAGCCGCGTCGCTCGACATTTGATTCGCCGAAAAACTTTCGGGATCAATTCGATGGCAGACGCCAGCTTTACGTAAATTCTCTAGGCATATGTGAACTAAACTTTTCAGATTCGGTATGTTCCCGAGGATTCCTAAATGCTGCTTAACTTCACTTAAAATTTTCGACTCGGGAATATACTTTTTCTCGTATCCATTAGTCAGCGAATACACAGCTTGGAATACTTCCCGAGCAACTTTTTTTTGCAACTCGTTTTTATCCATAACTCTTCTCGCTTCGATCTTGTCAGAGTATTTATATAAATTTATTTCGCCAAAATTAAAAAAAATATTCCACTCGTTTCAATGCGAATTTAAAATATATTTTAAGAAAATTAAACTGAAAATTTTTCTTCCCGATCAATATGAAAGAAATATGTAATTGAATAAATTTTCAAAGCAAAAGATGATTGCTGATTGAAAATAAAAAAAATTTTTGACTGAAAGTGAAACTGTAAGTATGTCGTGGGAGTTCTTTCGAAAGTAAAGTATACATGAAACGTCAAGTTACGGTGCTAAGCTTTACTTTTTGTAATGGCTCAAGCCAGCAAAGTTTTTTATTTATTAGATATTAAAGTTTGCAATAGCACCAACGTGAACGTGAATAAGATAAATTTCCTATAATATAGGTACACGCAAATCACGGAATGCTTTGGCATTATATTATATAAAGGGAATGCTATGGCGGGCATTACGACAATAGAGTAGCCTTCAGATTTTTACTGTATCTAACGGACGCATTAGCCAACAATAATCGGAAATTGTTCGAGAGACTGAAACATTGCAAGTGCTTGCACGCAGGTTCATATTGAAAATGAGTCAATACGGTCGAAAGACACACCTACAATATTAAGTAAAGTGGGTTCAGTTATAGCTTAAAGAAAAGCTTTGTTCTTTTATAGTTTAGAGAATAAGTTAGCTGTGTGCACACACACAGGGTCGATATATATAATTTTAATGGTGTGCTCCATCGAGGCCTTTATCCACTGAGCATTCAGATTCGAAACTGCGAACACTGGCGTGATAGTCGCGTTTCTTAGGTATTCGGCTACTCAGGTGGACATCTATTTAAATATATAGTTTCTGTTGCATTGCTAGAGTAAAAGTCTTCACGAATCCATTGTGTTACTTGTATTATTTCCGTTATTGAGGTTCAATACCCGCTATGAAGAAGAAGTTCTCTTTCATTTTACCTCAATATATAATTTTTCCTGATGGAAAATGTAAACGTTCTAAGGAAAAATTCCACGCAGAGAGAGTATTAATACAAAGTAACAACAATTATTCCTCGTTATTTAGTAACACATTTTGGCACGCTTTCTCTGTAGGGAATCTACACGCCTTTCTAAGACCAATAGAAGGAACTTGTATGTAAATGTAAACTTTATTTGTCGCGCGGAACAAATTTTGCAGGGCTACAACTGCCATCCCAACTAGCCAAACGATTGGTATGAAATATCTACAACATTCTTTCCAATATCGACGTTCCTTGCTTTTAGTTCACAATTAGTAAATTCGTTGCAACTGAGTTTGTTATGCTCACTTGTATTATTATTTAATAAATAAAAACTTCAAAAGCAGCAGAAAAAATATACTTCGTTCCTTGAACACATCGCACATCGTTCTCGTGAATTTAATCTTTGAAATTGTATCTAATAAACTCGGACTAAAATTGAATATTTTGAAATATGCAAGGATTAGGTATCCAAAGCATTAAGAAAAATCCAGCCGTATGTTTGACAGCTTGCTTGAGTCAATATTGATTATATAAGATCTTTTTAATTCAGCTAATCCCTCTATATGTGTGTGTGGCTGCTGGGGCAGTAGGAGCTGTTTATTACATGGCTCGTTTGGCTACTAGGAATCCAGACGTAACATGGAATCGTAGTACAAATCCCGAACCCTGGCAAGAATATAAGAACAAGCAATATAAGGTATAATCGACAATTTTCTTATATAATGGAATATTTGTGACTAATAACTTTTTGCCTTTAGTTCTATTCTCCAATCAGGGATTATAGTAAAACCAAGTCTCCTGCTCCAAACTACGAGGATTAAAGATTTGTTTTCTTAAAATTGCAATAAACATGTTATAAGCGCCATTGCACAGGCAAACGTACGAATTGCGTTTTTTAATTCGTGATCTTAAAAAGGAAATATAAGCATTCCATAGTGTCATTGAGGATGACCTTCCAATCTTTCTTTTCGTTTTCTGGCAAAGATCAAGTCAATATTTAAATGACGAATATTGATATATAGGTTAACCTATATAGTGCATCTCTGTTTAGCATTCGCAAATGTTCAATGTGTACATTAAAGCCCATATTTTAAAATAACTTGCGCCTTGCGATGATGCAGATACAGGTTATTGAAAAACGTATACTTTTTTAACAAGTAAACGTCCAGAGAATATGTTTTAAGCCGAACTATATAAACCATATATAAAACCGCTGTCAAGGGCATTTTTCTTTTAGAGGGCAGACCGTCCGAGTTGCCTTACTGTCGTTAGCGTAAGGAACTATTTGTTAAAATTCGTTATAAATTCTTCGTGACAAACTCCACCTCTCTAGCTACATGTTTGCATACGCATTTATATACAAACAGAGGGAGGAACTTCAAATCTCTTTATTTGAAGGCTGGCATTATTATTCCCACTTGAACTCAATACATCTAACCATTTTTTTCTTTACATTGTTAAAAAGTGGCACAGATGGTTTGGTTGATAAATCACCATAGCAATAATGTTACCTCCTTATTCATGATCTTCGGAATCTCTTTCAATGAAATTAGGTTTGAATGGTTCAGATTTTTTTTCTGTCCAGAACAATGCAATATATATACATAGAGTTCAGTACAGATTTGTTCGATATTTGATGACTCAATAAATTTATGCAATTTACCTAATCTCCGCCGCTTTTTCTCAGGTTACTCAATACCATAATAATTTTTAAGGCATTCTTATTGGCTTAGTACAATTAATCTCAAAAAAGATAATTCGCAAAAGCTGCGAACCGTGCAAAAAGCAGACTTTATCCTTTGTCAGTCGCTGGATCTTTCCTAGCAAATCATTATTTCGAAAATTCCAGATACAATATTTGAATAACAGCCGAATGGAATTTAACTTTTACCCTAAAAAAAACTCAGAAGCAAAAGCGGAATAGGAATGGCATTGAAATTTCCTACGATAATCTCCGAAGATGACCAATAATGAGTTTGGCGTTAAATGACCGCGTTTCTAATACAGCTATAAGGCGACATCTAGCGATGTCTAGAGTAGAAGCATATTCCGATTCTAGACAATGCAAAAGCGTTAACTACAACATCAAATGTGTTAAAATCAAATGCCATATGACCTGTTAAGGGCATATGCTCTTAAGTTGAATATTAATTGAGTCAGAATGATTTTGATTGTAGCTTGCGTAGGCTAAATCCAACGAATTTAGTTGACAAATGCAGCTTCCTTAAGCACAAACCCGTGAATCCCGTGATTCTAATAAATCCAATTGATATTTTATTCACTCATTAAATATTACTTCTTGCCCATGATTCACATTATTTTTCATTTTATCATTGACATGCTGAAAAGTAGCTTACTGGATGCGCATTAATGGGCCTGTCACCTCAAAAGTGTCAAAAGATAAGTTCGAACGAAACAGAAAATGTGTAGGGATATCCATCCAGTTAGATTATTAAAATCGATTCCTATCCATTAGCGATAATATTGCAAACATAGGGAATCAATACTTTGATCAATCTTTTCACGCTCTTGACAAGGTAAGTAGGCAAAGTTAAATCAATTTTCCAGAAAAGATTTAATAGCGGTGCACTCCAACTAGCCCAATTACGATCATTTAGATTCCGGCAATCTTTCCACACTTTCTATACAGCAAAGTAATGCCTTCAAGTAGTTAAACTTCTTAACGTGAACTTCCCGTCGAGTTACATCTGCGAGACTCTGATCAATTTGTCTACATTCCTGGTAAATGTACCGGGAGGGATCAACAAACGCATCATCAATTTTGACGGGTCCAAACCCTGGACATTTTAGATGGCTATGCAGAATATTATATGTCTTTAAAGTCTTTTGATCGTAGCGAGACGCAATAATCATTTGGTTTATCTAAAACTTTCCCTCTCACTGCAATCTCTCACTTTGAACGAATAAGAAGAAACTTTGGGGTTTGTGTTTGCATATACATATATATGTGTATATTTAAAATATAAAACAAATAACTCTTGTCTAAGCAATAGAAAATAAAATTTAATTTTCAAAGCTTCACGAGTGAAAGAACATATTGTAGTATTTCCGATTTGCTTTGAAGGCTTGATGAGTAAGCGATATTTCAAAATTTTTATTCAAATTTATATATAATTCATTTTACATTTTATAATATTTATGAAATAAAAAAAATGTGAAAGCCAACATTATAATGAAATACAAAAAGTAAAAATCTATTCAAAAAATTACCTTTACGACGACAAAAGTAATGTCCGAAGTGTTTGGCGCACTTTATGAGTAACACGCAGGAAACACGGAGAGCAAAGGTATTCATCGTTTTTGCTACATAGACGTGGGGGCGTGTTGTTTTACGTATTCTTTGAAAACTTTGGGTCCTTTATGATTTATGAAGATTCCTTATATATATTATAAGGGATTTGAAAAAAAAGTTAAATTACAACACTATAAAATCGAGTAGGCCTGGCCGATTGTTGCCATTTTTGGAGCACCGCTCATTGAATGTACGCTCAAATTTTCATAAATTTATCTGCTGTAGTTTATGAGCACTTTATACGGATGTAGTCACTGTGTCTTTCGACCAAAATTTCAGTACCAATGTTTCTGCCAAATTTGATGGCGATAGCTTCATTTTTGCGGCCAGGGTGATCTTTACAATAGAGAGACAGACGGACAGACTTATATCGATTTAGAATTGGATCCTAATTAGAAATATATATAATTTGCGGAATCTCTGAGGCTTCTTTCTGGTCGTTGCAAACGTTCCCTCCCCTCCCCTCCCCTCCGCCACCCATTCGTTCGTGATGTGTTTAAAAAAGGTTAAGTTTTGCATAATATTGGCAAATTCATGAATATATGCACAGTTATGTATAGGTGAGGCGCATTCCGATACCTTACCGGCATCTTAATAACAATCAAAGCAATTTGCGCCTATTGAATAGCGATTCTTCAAACTTTGTTTCGAGGCTTATGCAATGTTTTTAGTTGCTTCCCTAATCTTGTCTAGAGTGACGTATGAAAAGAAATTGTTTATTTAGCAATTTGCCATCTTAACAGTTCGTGAACAGTTGTTTCATTTCGAGACGAAAGGTTATCAAACCAATCGAAAATGCGAACATATATATTTAATGAAAACAAATCTATTAATAGTTTTTGAATACAAGCAACCCTCCTGTAGCAAAGTATTTTCAGTGTGATCCTATTATCCGCGGCAAAAAAATATCTTTGTTTGGCATTATATAGAAATCTACATTACGCGGTATGAACTTACGGTATTTAGGAGTACTTGGAATTTTAATAGGTATGTGCATTAACTGAGGGATGCCACTGAATCTATATATTAATTGGAGGAATACCACAAATTTTTCAACTATTTTTGTATGAACATACGTTTGTCTTGATATTCATCACGGAAAGATAAGGAGTGTATTCTTTTTGTTAAAAAGTTTGCAACGTCTGAAAGGAAGCTTCAGAGGCCCAGGCAAAGAGTATATATATTCTTGATCAGCATCAAAGTCCCAACCGATTTGTCTGTCTGTCCGTCTGTATAATGCCTATTGTAAAGATTCTCCTGGGCGCAGAAAGGAAGATATGCAGGTCGGTGGTGAAAATTGGCGAAATCGGTCGAAGGGTATAACCACAGTGCCACGTACACTAAAAGCGCCTCTCTTTTTCAAAAGGAATAAGAAATTGATTTTTTGATCATTACAACTAATAGTAGATTTATGGGCAATACCCTAGGACTTTAAAGAATAAAAATAAGAATAAAAATATTTTTTTTGTAATAAAGATGGGCTTCGTTTTTTTTTTTTTTGTTTTAGGTAAGTATAAAAGATTGAATATTTTTTTTTAAGCTTAAATTTTGAAAAGTGAAATTTTAATCCTAAACTATGTCTAATAGAAACAATAGCAGTCTAGTCTCACATAACACGGAACATCAAATAGTTTCACTTAGGAGACATCGCCTGTTCGCGTAACGCAGTAATCATCAGAAGGAAGTGAGGGAAGAGTCCAACCTATAACTGTTATGTCTTTACTGACTGAGCTACGACCGCAATTAACTCTACCACACTGACGTTTGAACCCGCGAACACTGACTTAGTAGACGCAATTCTTACCTCCTAGACTACTCAGGCGCATTACATGGAGATTTCTTTAATCTCTCTACCGCATCAAATCTCGGTGCTATTATGTATTTTACATTTCTGCAATTGATTACTTACTCTCACATAACTTATTATTTTCACAGTACAGTTGATGCATACTCAAATTTTATGAATTTTTTTATATTTATTTATTTTTTTATTTACTTGTTTATATTATTTTATTTGAACCGGAATGAATGGAACCGTTTTTATGTGCGTTTGTTTCAAATTTCTATAGTATCAATAAAACTTACACGGAACTCTGTGGGAATATATCTGTGGGAATATATCTATATATATATATATATATATATCTACAATGTTATAGGAAGGTCACCTGTATATAAAACGAATAATAATGAACTTAAAATCAATGTGAATTAAGGAAAAAAGTTCTACCTTCTGAACTTTGACCATTGACATCCTAGCACTCATCACTGTCAAGTGAATAATTGTAGAATTTATTTATCCCGGTATAGCAGATTATTATTGAATATCGTCCGGCCATTAGCCCACTAAAGTTTTATACGAGTTTACTTATACATCAACAATAAATACTAAACCAATGGAATATAAGGAAAAGATAACTTCTGGTATTACTTACATTTGTATTGACTTTCAATGAAGTCAAGATTTTTAACTAAAATTGATAAGAAATTCAGTAGCATATGCCCCTCGGTTTAATACTTTGTTTACGAAACTTAATGTTTTTAATCATAATTTCAGTCCACCACCGTCAGGTGTTATTATATTAATTTCGTCTTTTCATTTGTTGCAGCCCAAAAAAGATCAAATTTCAGCTGGGAATCCAAGTCAAGAAAGGTTTTTCAATGTCGATAAATTGGAATTTAAACCACATAAAAATTTTAAAATACCCCTGAATGGTCCTGATCGGCCCACTTTTTCTACACAGTTATTAAAACTAGGCTTTCATTGCTCGAGCTTTTCTCTAGTGCAAGAATGATTACGGTTATGGTTATCGAAAATGCGGAAGTATTTAGCGCAGTGAAGAACGATGATTATTTAAATAATTTATCTTCTGCGGAATGATGATCAATTAATTAATTTATCTTCTTCTTCCTGTCAACAAAGAAATGCTTCATTACACTCTTTAATAATTGGAGTAATTATTACTAGTATGTTGGTTGGTAACTGAGGACCTCTCTATTAGGCATCAAACTGAACGTTAACACACGCGCACACAATCAGGAAAGTGTGATCACGAGTTGCCAGTTTTGTGTCACTTAACCATCGGATTTTTCGGACTATGAAATGCACCTTTTTACATAGAAAAATGGACTAAAATTTTGGTTGCACCTTACGGCCCGAAGGCAACATTAAAAGGTACGACAACAATAGTTTAGATCAAAAGTAATGCGAACGGTGATGTGAACGCGACGAGCGATTGTACATGAGAGTGAAGATGAACTGTATAGTGCTAGTGCGGGTGCGTATGTTAAAATATATTTTTCTAGAAATCAACTTATTATTTGAAGTGCGTCTTATGGTTCGAAAAATGCGGTACCTTTTTGAGGCTAATAATCATCTCATTCATTGATTAATTAATCATTCCTGGGACGGAGGCATTAATTTTATTGAAGATTAACTTATTATCTGAATAAGAAATCAATCTGACGTTCAAGCAGACAAACTAAGCAAATTTGTCTGATTATTGTTTTGCCAGAACCAAAATTATTGCTTCTGCTTCTTATTTATCTTTTCTGCGCTCAAGATGCATTTATAGCAAAGGATTTGATCGATTTAATAATAAATTAATACATTCATATATATCTCAACTATTACATACACAAACATATTTCGAGCCCGGATCTTTTAATTGGTATTCCCGTTATCGTTTTAAATGGACCTTTTTATAATAATAGTACGGTTGCTGGGTATGCAAGATTCGTCTTACAGCGAACATGTTCTCATTAGTTGTTCTATATCTCGGTGTAAGCAAAAAAAGAAAGAAAAAAAAAATATTAATAATAATAAACATATAATAGTCTATTACTTTTTAATATAATATAAAAATCTTTACATATTCATTTACATTAATCACTTACTAAAGCGATTTCAGACAGTCTACACAGTCCACAACGTGATTATGTTTTCGAAAGTAAACTTTATATATATAATTTTTCAATTTTTTTTTTTTAATTTAAATACAATCAGCATTGTTGCATCGACCCTTCGTTGTTGAGTGTCATCATCGTTAGAAATATTAAAAATAATATAATTAGCAAAATTAAATTTAATCGAATAGAAGTGAATTTGATGTTAAAAGTTATTTAAAAAAACATTTTTTTTTTTTTTTATTTTTATAAAATATTGCACAAAGAAAAAATTCCAAGGTAAAATTTCAGATTATGTTTTCTATGTTGCTATCTATGTAATTTTGCCAGATAACATTAATTTTTAAACGGTTCAGAAACAAAAGTGATTTCCTATCCCTCTCATAACAAACTTTTATATTCGAATCATTAAATCAAGCTTGTGTGTGTGAATATGTGTAAACAAAGTAAAGAGGGAATGAAAATGAAAACAAATTTCGTACAGCAACAAAAAAAGGCCGTCTTGCTAAGATAACGTGTTAATGCCCTATGAATTCAATATTTTTAGACATACCGACAAAGATAAACCTATTTCGCTTGTTTTTGTACCTAACAACTAAGGATGAGGGGTATATTTGTTTTGTCCAAACATTTGCCCTACCCAGAGAGAAGCTTCAGAGGCCCAGATACATATTCTTGATTAACAGGAATCTAAGTATGTCCGTCTGTCCGTCTGTGCAACGTCGGTTGTAGACCTACTCCTGAACGGCAAAATGAAGCTATCGACTTCAAATTTGGCAGAAACATTGGCATTGATCCTGCCTGCAGACTGGTAAAAAAATTAGGCCAAGTCGGTCGAAGGGCACTACGTAAAGCGAGGACAACTGTGTTTATCAAAAGGAATAAAAAATCAGCTTTTGCTCATTCGTCATAAAATACCGCAGAAAGATCTACAAAAATCTGAACTTTTGCTCTATGGGCGATTCTGTAATACCTGTATGAAAATGGGAAAAATTGACCACGCCTACCCAATATTATAGTATATTAAAATTTAATTTTTTTCTCAATAGCTTCATAAGGCGCAGAGACAAGCTTCAAAAACCTCATGAATTATATAAATTCTTGGCCAGTTTCAAATTCCTAATGCACTTAAGCATATCCCTCCGTTCATTTGCTCACCTGTCCATGTGCGCAACCATGCAGTATCTTCGGTAAACACAAAAGAGAAGATATCGCCTGCAAACTTGCAAGAGATTTTAAAAAGCAAGCAACCGAACTTTTGAAAGAGCACACCTACAACAAGTCCATGCGCCTTCATAACAAAAACTGTTTTGCTTTCCATGTTTTTCACTTGTTACTCATAAAGTGCAACACATACGCATGCCGTTGAACTTCCACTTTTATTCTGAGATTAGAAGAAGTCACCCTAGCCCACCCAGTATTATCGAATATAAAAATTGACTTCTTTTCTTAGGATCACAGCGAACGTAATTTTCTTACTTGTTTTTTTTTTTCTGTTTTGTAGCGCCTTAGCGAACGTACAACAGTCTCAACATTTTACTCAACTTTTTATTAGATTGAAATTTTAACGTGTTTTTCATGCTCACATGTCTGTGCATATTATTTATTGAATATTCTAAACTTACAATATATATATATATATATAGTGTCGGCCTATAAATTAATTTATTGATATTGTTTATATTCCGTAATTGAAAAAATGAGTTCATCTTGTCCTCACTCAAAGAAAGAGTATTTTTTTTTAAATATACACTTTAATAAAATAAAAAGAATAATTTATATTTGAAGACATAGGGTATTAGACTGGCGGGTCGTAAGCCACTATAGCATTTCCACTTGTTTTTACCATTCCATTACTGCACCATTAGTTTGCGCAATTTTGCATTTAGAACAACAAACGAAAACTAGCTTTAATATATGCCACAGTATGTGTGTATGTGGTGAGCATCGGTTAGACTTTTTCAAAAAAAAAGAATTGAAAAAAATTACGTTATATCAATTTTTTTTTTTTTTTTTTTGGTTAGGAAAGATTGATCGTAAATCAGCATTGTATCAACAAATTCCAGTATCCATTGCAGGATTCTAATATGAGATGGAAATTTCAAAGCGCAAGCATGGCATCGAGAAAAGGGCGTATGAAGTTCCAAGCTCTATTTTCTGATGCTTGCATCGTACAGTTGATACAGTTGGTGTAATGTCTATGAGTATTTCCATCAGGTTGGCATAATTACGGCTTTTTTCCACCTCCATTGTTTGTTTTACTTGACTACTTACGTAGGGCATTCAATCTTGCCTCGCTTCTCTTCAGTGCTACGTAAAGTGAGAGCCCCCTCTGTTTTCCGAAGAGATTAAAAAATTGATTTTTTAATCATTACTCACAAACTATAGCAGGTAAAGAAGATTAAACGCATTTTGTCTGGGCGCGTGTACAACAATGGAAAAAATCGGCTATGCCTATTCAGTTTTATAGTGAGTCAGAAACAAGCTCCAAAAACCCGATAAGTTATATTAATTTTCATCATCAATATATCTAAACATCTCCGTCCGTTCATGTGTGCATCCGTCCGTTTGCACAACTGTGAAGATATCGGGTGCAAATTTGCAAAAGAATTTGGAAGTGACTTAAACTTTTCCGAGGTCACGCCTATAAAGACCCACACACTTTTGTCTTTTTTAAGGTAACGGTGATGGATATAAAAAATTCGGTTACAACCGAATTAAATTTTCTCATTTGTTTCTTATGCTACTTGTCACGTCAGAGACATCTTAAAATGCTTGTATTCTTAAACAATCTGACTCCAAGTGAAAATATCATGCCTATCTCCAATCCCCATCTAACTATTGTGGAAACTTTACCGATTGTATGAATGAAAATTATCTCAAATGTAAAAATGTTTTCTTTTAGTTAAATAAATGGACCTAACAAGAATACTAGTGAAAGATGGCGGTTTTGGTACACAAATGACGGTACACGTGGGTGACGCTGTGGATGGTGATCCTTTGTGGAGTGCCCGTTTTAATGCAACCAAACCAGCAGCAATTATTAATACCCATCTCGATTTTTTGCAAAGTATGAAATCGTCTGCCTCTTCTTCTTTTTTTTTTCTTAATAAGTTCCTTCATTTATTTCAATATTCATAACGGTTCAGATGGTGCTGACATCATTTTAACAAATACCTATCAAACAAGTGTTGAAGGCTATATGGAATATATGGAATTGAATGAAGAACAAAGCATTGAACTGATAAAAAATACTGTACGTTTGGCGCATATTGCAAAGGAAAAATATTTAAGTGAATGCTGTCAAACCGGCTTAAATATCGCCAATGGTATATTTACAAGCATTACAAGCAAATCTATTGCTACTAACATATTTAACTGTTTTCTAGGTTTTCCAATGATAATCGCTTCGATTGGCCCGTATGGTGCGCATTTGCATGATGGCTCCGAATATACTGGATCTTATGCAGATTACTTGTCAGCCAAAGATATTACAGATTGGCATAGGGTGCGCATAGATGCGTGTTTAGAGGCTGGGGTCGATGCCTTGGCCATAGAAACTATACCTTGTCAAATGGAAGCTGAAGCTCTTGTGGATATGTTATGTGAAGATTACGCGGATGTTAAGTTTTGGATTTCCTTTCAATGTAAAGACGAAAAAACCTTGGCTCATGGCGAAATATTCGCGGAGGCCGCCCTCACCGTTTGGGATCTTTTAAGAGATCGAAATGCTCAGAAAAATTGCTTAGCTATTGGTGCAAATTGTGTTCATCCGAAATTTGTAACGCCCCTTTTACAAAGCGTTAACGCCCATAAAAAGACTGAAGAGAAAATTCCTCTAGTAGTTTATCCCAACAGTGGCGAAATATACGACGTTGACAAAGGTTGGTTGGGCAAAGAGCATTGCGTACCTTTGGCTGATTACCTGCCGGAATGGGCTCATCTAGGAGCAAAAATCATAGGCGGATGTTGTCGAACTTATGCTCGCGACATACGCCTCATAAAGGAAGCCGTGCAAAATTATAATCAATGTGAAGATTGGAATTAAATCTTATGAACAATTTGCTACCAGCCTGGGCGTTGCTCGCTAGCTAATCCCGGGTCTTTTATACAAGAAAATTTATTTCTTAGGGCCCGATGGCTAGACTAGACATCGAAGAAATTAATGGTATAAAACGCATCCCACATTACGATACAAAATGCGAATGACACGATTTACTTACTAAGCAACTCTGTTATAATATTTTAACTTTGACTTTATAATTTTGAATTTAACTTCCATAGCACTGTCTTTGATTTTTCCCATTTTGATTTTACAATTTCGTGAGGTTGACTTTAACTTTCGTAATTGTAGACGCTTTGATTTTATAACATTGCCATTGATCTTTGAAATTTTTACCTTTGTAGCTTTGATTTAGTAACTGTTTCTTTACGTAGTAACCTAATAATTATAATTATTTTACTTTTAATACAAATAAATAATATAATAAATAAAAATTCTAATTCTAAATTTTTATTTCACTATTCACAAATGTGCGCCGCCATACTTGCATATACTTGTATATACTACATATATAAGTTACTGTTATTATTATTATTATTATTTTAATTTTAGACTAATGAAATGAATTCTTAGACTAAAAAAAGACATTGAGCACTAGCAACACAGGCTATCTTTATTCTCTTTATTCTTTATTCTCAAAGCGGCACAATACATGCAAAACAAATGAGAACGAATATACGTTTATTCTCAAAGCGGCACAATACATGCAAAACAAATGAGAACGAATA